CACTTTACAGGCATTGAATAAAATAAGCCATTTGTAATACAGAACCTGGCAGAGATTAAATATCAATAAATTATTCTCTCATTTAATCTTCATTTATCAGGCTCCAACCACATTCATTTTATCCAATCTCACGTTATGGAAATCTTTCTCTATTAATATCGCCCTCCATCTCTCAAATATTCAGACATTTAGAATGCTCCACAGCCACCACAGAAAGTCCTGACCGAGTCTTTTAAAAAGTTAAAAAGGAACCGACATTTTTCTATACCCAAGTTTATACGCGCCACCTTCCCCACCCCTGGGTAACTGGCATTTAGGTAGTGCTCTCACTACATCGTGGCAGGCGCTCTTCTAGGCCCCTTATGGACAGTAACACGTGTGGTCTTTGACTCACCTGGGAAATAAAAGCACTCACATTCTGAAGGTGGGAAGGCTAAGAAACTTGGCCAAAATCAAACTGTTAACAATAAGTGTTTTAAGGTTTGGTATAAACAATTTGTAAATCCAGAATTTTATGGGCAATTGCTTCCACTTGAAAAGCTTTCGCTGGCTTTTCTGCTTCATTCGACTGCTTTTCCTCTATTTGTGTAAAAACACAACATAGTTGCATTCCAGGGCTGGTTCCATCTGATGCTCCTGGCATCGATCACTACACCTTAACTGCTACGAAACACTGGTGTGGGAGCAGGTAGAGGCAGGGCTTGCAGCGCAAATCAGTACAGCACCTAATACAAGGCGCAGCTCAATTACAGGCGACTGACTAATCCCGCGTTTGCTGTGAAAATGTATATATTTTAATATATAATGACAATTATTTCTTTTGAAAATGGCTTTGGAGACCAGTTTTAAAGCATTTACATGAAATGATTTTAAATTTATTCTCACCTACCATTTTATTCAAACTGGAAGGAATATTGCTCCTTAACAAAACTATTTGCTATAAAATAATTCTAACACTTGAATTAAAAATTATGTAGCACGTAGCATCTACAGTCTCTTCATGCTGTGATCATAGAAAATCAGATATTCTTTCTTTAGAGTTGGTACTTATTTTAATGGGGAGAAACATGCTAGACTTGATAATAGAAACCCCTGCAATGATTCTGAAACACAATCATTTAATTTAGGATTTCTCCATATTAAAATTTTAAATAAAACTATTCTTTCAGAGCATTTTCTACTCATCTAAATATCCGAAATTACTGACTGTAAATATTATTATTTGACAGAATTTTCTCCTTTGGAGTCTTTTAGTAAGAGTCTAGTAACCCTAACTAAAAGATGTTAAGCTCAGAAAAGTTTAATTCTACAATATTTTTTGGTTTTATGTGCATTGTTAAGCAACTACTAATATATAGCTAAATCTATTGGGATTTATTCACTCCACTGTTAACAGGCTTCTCGAGCAAATCTCGGGCTAAGGCTTGAGAATGAATCATGGTCTTTAAAGATACAGGATGGATTTATCAGGATAAAAAAATGCAGACTCAGCTGTCTGTAAAGAAACTTCAGGAGGCCATACTTCATCTTCTGATTCCTATGACAGTAGGAGAGGGATGAGAGAAAGGATATATGAGAGAGCGCCACTGAGACTTAGACATTTAAATTATGTATCATCTCCGCATTGTTCAGATGATACTTATCTGATCCTCAATCTTAATCACTTGTTTTAGTTGTTAAGAATATAAATTAAGGATAGACTTAGTTCTAACAGTTATGGGGGAAAATAAAAAGTATAACCAACAAGGTCAGTTTTTTTAAGAAATACATTTACAAGTAAACATGCAAAGTAGCAGACCCTATATTTATATTACCTTCGAAATCTTAAAAATCCTGAGACTAAATGTGGACTTATGGTTTTGATGAAATGAGGGCTAAAGGTTCAAGTGTTTTCTTCATATAGTTTAAGAGTATGTGTAGAACGTTACCAGTAAGGTCAACTAAATATGTGTTAATAGATTACTTTCTCTGAAAATCACAATATATCTATAAAAATCAGAATATATCTTTAAATATATCTATTCAAAATCAAGTGAACTGATTGAAAACCAATTCTAACAGATCAAATTGTCTTAATGTACAAAAAAGGAGGGGATGACCTAAATTGTTTGAGTGAAGATTGTGCAAGTGAAGATTGTAGGCAAAAGTATATGAAATGAATCAATGAAATCTCCCACCAATAATGATTTACATCCAAAGGCTTTTGGCAGTTCATTCACTATGTACAGATGTCATATCCATATTTCAGTTACAAAGATAGTTTCTGCAGGTGGATTGATCTGCAACATTACAGCTGAGCAGGATTAAACACCAGCATCAGAACAGAGAATCCTTCTTTAGAACAGCTCAATAATAAGAATGGATGTTAGAAAAGAAAGTGCAAGGATCTATAAACAAATTTTTAAAAAATTTAATTTGCACCCAATGAAAAATGTTTGCAATGAAAGAAAGAAATGATGTATGCACACCAAGGAAAAATATTTTCCCAGATGTTTATAAAGAACTATTATGCTTAAATGAAGAAAATAATAAAAAGCTACCGCTTCTTGTTGTCAATGTTATAAAACTGTTTAAAACATCCACTAAATACAGAGTGGGTTAAATAGAGAGTAGGGTTAAACCAAAGTTCATAATTGATAAAATGCTTTTAGAAGAAATAAGAAATGACAGAAAATGAAGTCAATGAAACAGAACATATACATGGAAAATATAACTAAAACAAAATGTAAACTAGTAAAATGATTATAAAGATAGTATAGAGGGAATGGCATATACACAACATAAAATATGGAGCTTCTACCAGTGCATAATTAGGTTTTCCTAGGAAGAAAATATAAAGAAGAATAATTATTCATTAAAAATAAAGTAGAAAAAAATTCATAAGCCAAAAACAGATGAACTAATGAGATTTTTCATTCCCCAAAAGAATGCTCAGTTTTGAGATATATTCAGCAAATAAAATGGATATGATTTATGACTATCTATATTTGGGGACCTGAGCAAGAGGTAGAATTTTAGACAGATTCTAAAGTATCTAAGCAAGGAATAGAAACAGGAAGTTTAGAGGCAGGGAAGGTTTATTTTTTTAATCTATTTAAAAATTTTTTAGATTTACAGCCAATGCCAGGAATTAAGGAAAATTAAGGAAATATATAATAGAATGCTAAGTTAACAATGGCTCCTATAACAGATTAACTAGTTAATGCTCATTGTTTTGAAAATAACCTTTTTTTCCCTTAAGCATGTCAATGCATGTATTCTTAGTTGGTCAGTTTTCCTCCATGCGGAGATTTATTGACCCATAACCTCACTTATTCTTGTAGCTCTCTCATTTTCAACTTGTATCTCCTGAGATCCCTTGGCAGGGTTACATGTGTGCGTTTTTATTGGCTGGGCCTTCATTCATTTGCCTAGACCACAAATCACACGGTATCATTCAACTGCATGTGACACTGGAAATGTTTAGCTCTATGCACTGAAAGAACAAAAACAAGTTTTCTATGAGCTAAAAATCTCTGCCCCGATATACTCTCTGATCACCAAATATTTGTTCATGTCATTTCCCTCACACAAAGTATAAAGAGACAAGCTAAAGACCTGTCAAGTCAATATATCCACCTTGAAGACCAAGATCTTCAATATGCACAGTCCTCTTCATCAGAGCTGGGTGCATTAGCTAAGGAACAAATGAGGCAAAAGACTAATGCCCCCCTCCACCCGTCCACTTCTTGGTTGAAGTTTCGAATAGTCGGGCTTTTTTTTCCTTTCTGCCTTGCCATATGTTTCTTGGGCACAATAGTTCTATTAAACACACAGTAGACTCCCAATCTGTGCACCGTGTTTATGGCCCTGTACCCGTCCTCCCAGATCTTCTGAAGGTGGAATTGCCCGGCCTAATTGATTTCTTCACTTTCCCCCCCTGAACCCCTCTTAGGCTGTAAGCAGCCCTGTGATGCCGTCTGCAGCGGGGCTTGGGAGGGTGCGCAGGGCCTTCAGCCCGGCCCTGGCCGCTTGCTGAGCCTTGGTGGGCTCTGTTGCTCAAAGCTTCGCTCCGTCTGACTTCTTACTGTGCAACTTCTAGAAATTGTTGATTTCTCAGACTTTCCGGTACCCTGGTGTCGGGGCTCTCTTTTGATCTTTTCCATCTCTGCTTGAAAACTGGCTATTGTTTCCTAGGCTCATGTCTTCCCTGTGCATCTTACTACAAGGGAATGTAAAAGTATATGATGAGCCTGTCTCTTTCCAAGCACTTCCTCTGAGGCTGCAAGTGCCGAGTATTCATTCTCCTCCTCTATCAATATTTCACACCATCTGCGATTCCCTTGTCTCCCCGAAGTTCATTCTTCCTTTTGATCAGCCCGAGTGCACTCTCAGGATCTTTTCCACCAGCCCCCCTGTCTCTGTCTCCCTCCGTCTGCTCGGCTGGCAGCTCTTCCTCTTCCTAGATTTTAAATACGCGAGTTTTTCAGGTCTCGGTTTTGAGACCCTTTCCTTTATCTAGACTCACTCTTCTAGGGAACTTATCAACTTTTATAGCTTTAAATAACACTTATATAACGATAAAACCCAAGTTACCATCTCCAGCCCCATCCTTTCCCATGACATAGTTTCATTTAAAAAATGGTATAATTGTGTTGATCTCACTAAAAGATGCACAGAGAGATTTTCAGATGGAGAAGAGAGGAAACGAAAGGCATAAAACTATGCAAAATCATCTGTGTGGATTTGTCTCTCCAGCCTCTCTCCAAAATGCAAACTCAATAGCAAGTGACTAATGTGGCAAATGTGATACTGCCAGGCGTTTTGTACGTTATAGGTACACAATAAATACTATAGATACGCTATAAATATTGATGACTAGGTAACTGGTGTAATAATACTCATTAATGAAACTGTTTTCTTATTAGTGTGTGTTAATTTCCAATCAGTCATGCTAATGCAGGTATGTGCTCCCTGACTAAATAACACTAACTTAAGCAATGTTTTCTTGTCTTTTCTAGACCCCAACGCTCTGGCTGGCCAGGCTGGCCCTGATCACGCTCTTATAGGAGGAATAGTGGCTGTAGTTGTATTTGTCACGCTGTGCTCTATATTTCTGCTTGGTCGATATCTGGCAAGACATAAAGGTGGGTTATATTTCATAAAGTATTCTTAACTTTGACCAAAAAAATTCTAAAGACTCGCTTTACCATGACATATTATATGAGTGTGCATTGGGG